ACCTGCGGAGCCTCGGGGGCCCGTGGGACCTGTGGAACTGTGGGGCCTGTGTGCGTAGCCTGATAAAAAGCCTGTGAGACATGCGTGTGGTGCCCGTGAGCCCTGTGGGACCTTTTGCCCGTGGGGCCCGTGAGGCACGCGGGGCCCGTGGGACCTGTGGGACCCTTCGGACCTGTGGCCGTGGGGCCCGTGGGACCCGTGGGACCTGTGAGCCCTCTGGGATCTGTGGGGCCCGTGGGGCCTGTTGGACTACGGGACCTGTGACCTGTGCGACCTGTACGCCCTGGGACACCGTGGCCGGCTGGAAAAGATGTGGCCGGCACCGGGGCAAGAGCACGACTCCCGAATACGTCGGGAGGACATCTCAAGGACGAAACGGCTGCCAGACCTGCCGGTCTTGGGCACCCCGTCCCCCCATTCCGGGCGTGAGTGGCTTAGCGAATTTCCTCTTCCATCTTCCCTCTTCCCCTTCGGGGATGCGTCTATCACTGTACCCTATTAGTAAGCAGTCCCTCCCCCAACCGACCGGCAGCCAACCCAGCCCAAATCAAAAACAATACAACATACACTTTGCCCTCAAATCTGGCGCATGCGCTGGCGCCCCGCGACCACTTTGCATTGGTTTTTGACAGGGACGGCGTGCTGGCGCACCTGGCGCGGCTGGAGCACGTGGTAGAGTTGGCGCATGTGGAGCATGTGCCGCACCTGGCACGCTTGGGCCTCCAGGGTGCCTGGTGCACCTGGAACCCGTGGCGCGCATGGCATGTGTGGCGTTCCTGAACGATCTGCTGACACTCGGGTGTTACTTCTGTGTTGGGAGTGCGGGTGGGAGTGAGCTGGACGGCCTGCCATCTAGGAGGGTGTCTTGACCACTGCCCCTCCCCCCTCCCCCTGCGTCTGGAGGGGAGGGGCCGCGAGGTGTCAGATGGTCTTTTTGGCCTCGACAAGTCTTTTTGGCCACCCACATTTTGGCCTCCGGGGGGGGGGGGGGGGGGCGAATGAAGCAGCCCCCCTTCATTTGATCGATCTCCTCCAAGGTGATCCCAAGACTGCCCCCGAGGCTTCAAAGGGTGCGCCCCAAGGGGCCCCCAGGATACCCCCAAGAGGCTCCCAGGAGACCCGGGCCCAAACACACACCAAAAGGCCTCCCAGAGGCACCCGAGACGATCCAGGAGGCCTCTGCGATAAGGCCCGAATTTTTCATTGGATGCAGGTGCTGGCCACATTTTGGCATCCTTGGGAGGGGGGGCTCGATCGAGCCACGACAGGAGGAGGAGGAGGAGGAGGGGAGGGGAGGGGGAGAGAGGAGGAGGAGCAAGGAGGATGGGAGGAGGGGGAGGGAGGGGGGAGGAGGGACGCGGAGGAGGGAGGAGGGCAGGAGGTAGGAGGGATGGTGCGGGGAGGAGGAGGGGGGGGGAGGGGGGCTAACCCACCAGCCCTCTGGGAGTGAGTGGTTTGAGCGTTTCCTCTTGCAACCCTCCATCCTTCCCCGTCGGGGAGGGGTTTAGGGTCTGAAGGGGGGGGGGGCGGCGTGCGGTTAGAGCGTCCAAAGCGGCCTCGGCAAGAAGGCAGCAATCATTTACTTTACGCAGGGGTTGGCCACATTGTGGCCTCCTGGGGGGGCCCTGGTTCACCACGGCACTCCCAGGAGGTGCGATTCCGCGGAGGAGGAGGAGGAGGAGGAGGAGGAGGAGGAAGAGTAGGAGGAAGGAGGCGAGGAGAGGAGGATTGAGGGGAGGAGGGAGGAAGAGGAGGAAGAAGGAAGAGGAGGAGGACGGAAGAGGAGAGAAGACGAGGAGGAGGAGGAGTAGGCGGAGGAGGAGGCGGACCCAGGAGGGGAGGAGGATGAGGAGGAGGAGGAGGAGGAGGAGGAGGAGGAGGAGGAGGAGGAGGAGGAGGAGGGGGACTTGCTCTACATGCTTAGTTTTTCGTCATTTTCGGCCTCGGGGGCCATTTTGGGGACCGGGGAGCCGTCCTCGAGCCCTCATTGGGCGCCTCTTCAGCCGTCTGGAAGGCCCTGGGGGCCAGCTCAACAGACTGAACTCATTCGAACACATTGGGTTCGTGAGATGATGTTCGAAGCTTCGCCTTTTCGGTCTGAAGAGCGCCCAAGACGGCCCAACAGGCCCCCAAGATCGCCCCAGGATCGCCCCAGGAGGCTCCCAAGACGGCCTCAGGAGGAGCCTCAGAGCCTCGTGGGCCCTGGAAACGAGAGGGCTGTTTTGTTCACCGGTTCGGTTTTGCCGTTTTTGTTGCCAATTCCGATGCCGTTGTTTTACCAGTTCTGTCGCAATTCTTCAACCGGCTCCGGCTCCGGTTCCCATCCTGGAGCCGCTTTGTTGCCGTTTCCGGTCGCTGTTTTATGGCCGCTTCCGTTTTCCAGAGACACGTGTTCGGAAACGGTGAGAGAGCGGCCCTGCCGTGTCCCGGGGCCCACTAAGCCTCCGAGGGGGAACACGAACTGGCATTTTGAGCCCTTCCCCCCCCAAGACGACCCCCTCGACCGCGAGCAGGGCCCAAGAGACCCCGAACAGGCCTCCACAGGTCCTCGAGAGGCCCCCAAGGAGGCCCCTCAGAGCTTCCCAAGAGACCCCCAGAAAACTCCCAGGAGGCTTCAATAGGGCCACGAGAGGTCTCCTCGTCCTCCTCGTCCTCGTCCTCGTCCTCGTCCTCGTCCTCGTCCCCGTCCTCGTCCTCGTCCTCGTCCTCGTCCTCCTCCCTCCTCCTCCTCCTCCCGCCTCCTCCTCCTCTCCTACCTCCTCTCTCCTTCCTCCCTCTCCTCCTCCTACTCCTCCCCCTGACGCATGGTTGTTTGTTGTCTCACTAAGAGCTAGACAACGGTGGTGCTTGGCTGGTTTGACGCCAAAGCTGATAGACAAATCTAACCTTCCCCTAGAGCGGGTCGCCTCGGCCTGATAAAAGGACGAGAGGTGTATCAATGTCTACGGGTCTTCCGGCCATGCACAGTGGATGTGAGCTTCACACAATGCCCTCCTCCTCTCCTACTCCTCGTCCTCCTCCTCCTCCCTCTCCTCCCTCTCCTTCACTCCTCTCTCTTCTCAACGCTCTCCTCCTCCTCCTCCTCCTCCTCCTCCTCCTCCTCCTACTCCCTCTCTTCCTCCCCAATGGGTTCCCACAACGGCCGGGGAAACACATGGTCCAGACTTTGGCCCAGCGCCTGCTTCCAACATCGGCGGCGAGCCTGGGGGAAGTCAGAAGGAGAAGGCCTTCTCAGAAGGCGCCGGGGCTTCTCAGAAGCCCTCGCGCCTTCTGAGAGGCTTTCTGTGCCTTTGTGGGAGGCTGAGGAAAGTTATCCGAAGGTCGGGGGGCTTCCGAGCCTTCGGAGAAGGCCCGCCCTTCTCGCTTCCCCAGGAGAGCCCAGAACCGAATCGACAAGTCGGATCGGCGATCGACATGAGTCGGATCGGCGGAAATCGGCAGCCGAGTCGGGAAACGTCGAATCGGCAGAAATCGACAGGCAAGTAGGCCCCCAGTGAGAAGTCGGATCCCAAATCGGAATCCGAAATCGAATCGAATCGAATCGGCATCGGAATTCATCGAAATCGAATCGGATCGAATCGGCGGTATCGAAATGAGCCCTGCTTCCCCCCCAGGCTCGTCGCCGACCGGCTGTACGCAAGAGTGACCCTAGGTAAGAGTGACCTCTGGTGCGCGACTTTTTGGGGGCCGCGGGGGGACCAAACCTGGGCGCGCAAGCAGCTGCTACTGCCTCGTTTTCGGCCATCTGGGGACCCATCCCCAGAGATCCGATGTCGTGATTTTTTCAATACGCGGTCCCCAGAAGTCTCGACCGATTCCCCAGGACCGGTTTTTCATCCTGAGTCTTTTTTTACGGTCGGGAGGCCCGGCGAGGGCATCCAAGGGCCGAATTTTGTGAAAAACCTCCGTCTTGATTTTTTCAATACGTTGGATCTCTGGGTCTGTGCCCGCACCAGAGGTCACTCCGGCGAAAGTTCACTCTTACGCCTGGTCGAGCCGACAAGAGGCACGAGGGGGCAGCGGCTCGCCGAGGCCGCCTTCGACTCACAGGGCAGAGGGCCAGTAAGGACTGTGTTGCTCCCCTCGGACTGAAAGACCACATCCCAGAGATAGTTTCGAGCACCCGCGAAACGTCGAAACGGTGCCGAAGCAGTGTCGGACGAGTGTCTCCCAGGGCCCGACGCGTGAAGACCCTCGAGTTTCGATACTTTCTTGGTGCTCTGATTCTTTCTGGTGATCAAGGCTCAAGTAGGTTGAAACATCATAAGGTCAGGAGAATCCCCGCAGGCCCCCCGCCGTCTCCAGAGGGCCCCGGAGGCCTGCGGAGGCCCCCGCCGCGGCGACGACGACGACGACGACGGCGAGGGCGGCGGCGACGGCGGCGACGACGGCGACGGCGGCGACGACGGCGACGGCGGCGACGACAACGACGACAACGACGGCGAACACAGCGACGACAGCGACGACGACGACGACGACGACGACGGCGGCGAGGGCGGCGGCGACGGCGGCGACGACGGCGACGGCGGCGACGACAGCGACGAGAACGACGGCGGCGAACACAGTGACGACAGCGACGACGGCGACGACGACGACGGACACGTTTGGTCATCCCCCGCGGCGCCGCGCCGGGCGGAGGAGGAGGAGGAGGAGGAGGAGGGGGAGGAGGAGGAGGAGGAGGGAGGAGGAGGCGGAGGAGGAGGCGGAGGAGGGAGGAGGGGGAGGAAGAGGAGGAAGAGGACGATGAGGAGGATGATGATGAGGAGGATGAGGGTGAGACAGAAGAGATGGAGTAGGAGGGGGAGGAAGAGGAGGGGAGGAGGAGGGAGGAAGGATGGGAGGAGGCGGATAAAAGGAAGGGAGGAGGAGGAGGATGAGGAGGAGGAGGAGGAGGAGGCGGAAGGAGGAGGAGGAGGAGGCACGGAGGAGGGAGGAGGAGGAGCGAGGAGGAGGAGGCGGTAGAGGAGGAGGAGGAGGAGGAGGAGGAGGAGGAGGAGCGAGGAGAGGAGGAGGGAGGAGGGGGAGGAGGAGGAGGAGGAGGAGTTAGGAGGAGGAGGATGAGGAGGAGGAGGGTGAGGAGGGCGGGAGGTGGAGGGGACGGAGGGAGGAGGGAGGATGGAGGTGGGGAGGAGAAGGAGGGAGGAGGAGGGAGGAGGGAGGAGGGGGAGGGAGATGGGGGGAGGGAGGAGGGAGGAGGAGAGGAGGAGGAGGACGCAGGAGGAGGAGGAGGAGGAGGGGGAGGAGGAGGAGGAGGAGGAGGAGGAGAAGGAGGGAGGAGGGAGGAGGGAAGAGGGAGGAAGGAGGAGGAGGGGGAGGAGGGAGGAGGGGGAGGAGGAGGAGCAGGAGGAGCTGAGGGCGGCGCAGGGCCGGCGCCGCGACGGCGGCAGTCGGCGTCGGCGGCGGCGTCGAGGAGGCTGTGGCCGCCGGAGGGCCGGCGCCTCCAGGAAGGGCGCGTCCTCCTCCTCCCCCGCCGTCGCGCCCCTGCGGTCCCGGCGGCCCGTCTGCCTGTCGCGGCGGGGGCCGCCGGCGGCGGCGGCGGCGGCCGGCGGGGCTCTTGGCAGCTCTTCGGCGGCGGCGGCGGCGGCGGCTCGCGTCGGCCGGAGGCAGGATCGGAAGCCCATCGCTGTCGTGGAAGGCCGCTGCCTCGGCAGAGGGCCCCCGGTGCGCGCCGCCAGGCTTTCCCGCGTCGCGACCGGAGCAGAAACGAAGGCGAGGAGGTCGAATCGGTAGTCTCGGAGGGTAGGCGGGTCTGGAAGATGAGTCGAGTGCCAGAAATAAGCTCTGAGAGCGTTCTGGAGCGCGCAGGAGTGATGTTATCTTCCTCCTGGGCAGCGGGGCAGACGATGGGAACGGGGGTCACTTCTTGAGGCTCCATGTCTAGAGCTGGCTGGGCCACCTGCCCGCAAAAGCGACCCTAGGAAAGAGTGATCTGTGGCAAACGGTTTGCCGATCGTTGCATGCGATGACGGAGGAGGAGGAGGAGGAGGAAGAGGAGGAAGAGGAGGAGAAGGAGGAGGAGGAGGCGGAGGAGGAGGAGGAGGAGGAAGAGGAGGAGGAGGAGGAGGAGGAGGAGGAGGGAGGAGGAGGGAGGAGGAGGGAGGAGGGAGGAGGGAGGAGGAGGATGCGCGCTTGGGATTGACCCCCCGCGCACCCCCCGACAGCCAGGCACCGAACGTCACTCCGGCGAAGGGCCCCTCACGTGGTAGACTGCGGGAAATGCAACGGTGCGCCCCTGCCTCGACAGGGCGAGGAAAAAGCACGGGTCGCAATGCACAAAGGGGAGACCCTGCCATCCGCCGACGCGTCTTCGTCAGTCCGCGGCCCCTCCCCCCGGGGGCAGCTCTGCGCCTGGGACTCGTCTGCGGTGGCCCGCCAGGGCCCAGAAGTGGCCCCGCGGAGGCCGACGTCCAGGAACATGGGAGGCCCGGAAATTGGCACCAACGCCAACACAGGGGGTTGCCTCCACAGGGGGAAGATGATCCTCGATTTCCGTGTTGGTGGTAATATTTCAGTCACTTTGGAAGCCAGAATATTACCACCATCACCGAGATCGGGATCCTCTTCCCTCGGCGGAGGAACACCGCCGATATTGGTGTTGGTGTCAACCTCTAGGCCTGCGAGAACAGGCGCAACTGAAACCATCTCGGCGGTGGACAAACCTCCCTTTAGTAGACCTCCCCTTAGTGAAAACGGCCTGGGCCCGAAACCGACGAACCTGGACCTGCAAAAATGACGGCCGCGACGCCCTCTCTCGCGAACCGAAAACGGCCAATTCCTTGATCGACGTGTCAGGGTAGGAGGTCTGTCCACCCCCGACCATCAGCTCCTAGGACACCTGGGCTTCTGCTGCTGCCGCTGCTCCCCAGTCCTCTCCCAGGGTGCGCTCCGACCCGGATCTCGGGGCGGACCCCGCCGTGGCGACGCGGGCGCTCCGGGAGGTCCGAGGAGCGCCCCAAACTAGGGGGCCACATTAGGGGGCAAACAGACCTACCTCGCTTTTGACCACCCTCGCTTCCAAGAGATACCAAGCGATGCCAAACTACGGCATGTACTGGTCAGGCCGCCTGACGAGGAGGCGCGTGGTATGACTTGGTTTTGCCTGGAAGCGAAAGCGGGGTAGGTAATTCACGCTCTGACACATGCGAACCCTGCCCCTACCCCGCCACGATTCTCGAGGGGGAGGGTGGGGGCTCGCTTCGCTCGGGGGAGCTCCCGAGCGAGGTGAACCCCACCCTCGCCCCCTCAGGAATCGTGGGGGGTAGGGGTAGGGTTCGCAGGTGGCCCCCTCCAGACCCTTGAGCCTCCAACCTCGACCCTCGACTCTTCCGGATCGGCCGCCGGCGGCGAGCTCACGGCTTGACGCCTCCGCGCCTAGAGCTCGTGCGCGCCGCCGGCGGCCGGATGCGCCCAGGCGCGGCCCTGCCGCACCAGGACGAGGGGCACGTAGCCCTCGCCGTCGGCCATGAGGTCCTCGTTGTAGCTCATGACCTCCAGGCGAGTGGCGTCGACAGTGATGTTCGGCGGCACGCGCCAGGGGGTGGCGCCAGGGGGGCCTACATGGAGGCTTCTACGAGGGCCTCCGCAGAGCAGGGGGGGGGTATTCCAAGAAGGCACCCTCCTCCTCCTCCTCCTCCTCCTCCTCCCTGCAACTCCTCCTTCTTTCTCCACCTCCCCCCTCCTCCCCCTCCTCCTCTCCTCCCCCTCCCACTCCGCCCTACACGCCTCCTCTCCTCCCTCTCCTCCTCCTCCTCATTCCCTCTCTCCCTCTCCTCCCTCTCCTCAATCTCCTCCCTACTCCTCCCCCCTCCAACTCCTCTCCCCTCCCTCTCCTCCCTCTCCTCCCTCTACTCCTCCTCTCCTCCCTTTCATCCCTTCTCCCTCTCCTCCCTTCCTCCTTTTCTCCTTTCCTCACGTTCCTCCCGTTACCTCCTCCTCCCTCCTCTCCTCTCTTCATCCCCTATTCCTCCTCCTCCTCCTCCTCCTCCTCCTCCTCCTCCTCCTCCCCCTCGAGATACAAGATGCAAGCACAACCAGAGCCTGCTCCCCCTCCCCCTGCCTCCGTGGAGGGGCCCCTCCCCTCGCGCCGCCACGCGGCGCACGCCGCCGGGCTATCCACGCGGCCGTCCACCACGGGACCGAGGGTCGCATTGCCCTTGATCGTGAGCCAGCCTCCTCTGGCACGCTGGTCCTGCCAGGTCAGGCTCACCTTGGGCTCGCTGGCGATCTCCTGCACCTTGCGCCTGTCGGCGCGCGTGCTCAGGCGGAAGCTGTCCAGGTCCGGCGCGATCTCTCTGGGCACCACCACCCGGGCGCTCGGAAACCCGTCGGGGTCGACTGTGACGAGGCTCACCCGGCCACCCCACGAATCCTGAATGGACCGGGAAGCTTTCTGAATGATGCGCCTGGTTGAAAGGGGTGTTGCCTGGGCGTCTCCGTCATGGGATGCCAGCATGACCAAAAGACACACTTGGGAGCATATGCGCATACCTCTACCCAAGCTCTGACGACATCCTTGCTCTGAAAAGGCAACATGGGCGAGACGGCTGAAGAGGACAGATCACAGGACGAGCAGGAGAGGAGAGGGGGCTGCAAGATCATCGGTGAGACGACGAAGAGTGAGCGAAGGAGAAGGGGGTGCGAGTAATGAAGCGCAACGCATGACTAGACGAGCGGCTCAACATCCCCATAGCCTATCGACCCTATGGGTGCGTAGGCAAGATCCCACAGAGGGCCCCGAACGCTCCCCAAGGGTCCCCAAGAGAGCCCCAAAGGCCCATTGATTTTCGACTCGTGCACTTACGCGAATCCGAATCTTCGGGCGGTCCAAAGAGCATGGCCCATCGGCCCTGCGGAGCCGCCTGCAAGACGTCCCGTGCTCCTCTGCGTCTCTCTGTAAAGTACACCTCCGCCCGTCCAAGGGTACCCCAATGAGCATCCCAGAAATCCGTTGAATTGGGTGTCTTGGTGGGTGCTTGGGCTGATCCCTTCCTTAGTTTTACCGGTGTCCCGCCTTGCTGACCAACTGATGCTCTTGCACTTCCGTCTTCACTGCAACTCGCCTGGGAGTCGCTCCTGAATGCGATGGTGGACTTGCGAAGTGCCAAATAATCCCACCAGCTATTTGGGCTAAGGTGGTCTCACGAAATTATTCTTTCTTTCCTCTTCCAACAGCCCTTTTCCATCCGGGGAGGTTGTTTGGGGAGGGCCTCGATCGCTCAGGGCGCCCAAGATGGCTCAAAGGGCCTCCGATGCTCAAAAATAGCCTTCAAAGCGGATCAGGATAGCCGAATATGGTTCAAGATAATTAGCTTCCGATATGCTCACAGGGGCCCGACAAGACACACGACAAGAGAGCCCCAAGATGGGCCCAAGAGGCCCCCAAGACGGCCCCGAGAGCGCCCAATATCGCCTTATTGAGGGGCGATTTCGAAGGTCCCTAAGCGGGGGCCAAACTTTAGAACCCCTCACTTTTAAAAGACGCCCTCCACGATAGAACCAAGAGGTCCCCCAGGGCTCCCAAGAGGCTCCCAAGAGGCCCCCAAGAGAGAGCCCCAAGAGGGCCCCGGGCCCCAACAGGGCCCCAAGACGCTCCAGAAGAACCCCAAAGAGGACCCCAAGATCCCCCAAAGAGCCCCAACCAAGAGGGCTCCGAGAAGCGATTTTGAGGGCTCTGTCCTCGTCCTCGTTGTCTCCCTCCCCCACCTCCTCCTCCTCCTCCTCCTCGTCCTTGCCCTTTCTTTTTCCTCCTCTTCCTCGTCGTCCTGGTCGTGATCGTCGTCGTCGTCGTCGTTGTCGTCGTCGTCGTCATCGTCGTCGTCGTCTTCCTCTCCTCCTCCTCCTCCTCCTCCTCCTTTTCCTCCTCCTCCTCCTCCTCCTCCTCCTCCCCCGCCCCAACGCGAGCCCCAATGATGGCCCGAATAGGCCCTCCAAAGCCACCATTTTGCTCGGGAGATCTTTTGATTTACCCTGGCTGCCCGTTTTGTTGCACTGTTTGTGGCGGATTCATTAAAACGGGAATTCGAAACATTGTCATCTCTTGGAAGGCAACTTTTTTCTTCTGCCAGCTTCCGCTGGCCCTCCGCCGGCTGAGGCGGCCTCGTTTTACTTCCGCCGCCCTTCCGCCGAAGAAGGGATGGCAACTCCTTCGGTCCTCGAAGGCGAGGCCTTTTTTGGACCGCTCCATGTGTCTCTGTTGCCCCCTTTCCAATCAGCTTTCGTGGGCAAGGCTTCTGAATGGGTTGGTTGGGATACGCGAAACGTGCACAGATTCTACGCGCATCCAGCAAGATGAAGCTCCATCAGAAGCTCGCGGAGGTAACTGAGGATCTGAAACTCAGAGGGCGGAAGAAGAAGAAAAAACAACAAACAAGTGGCAACACCAGAAGGGCGCAAAGAGCCATAAACTCAAGCAACCACGGCAGCCAACCCAGCACGACGACAAGAAACGGCAGGGACAATCAGCATCGATGCGGGGAATCGGATCGAATCGACATGCGCGTCCAGTCGGGCTGCAGCGGCACGGGGTCGAAACTGGATCGGATCGGCTGCGCCAGGATGTGCAACAACACAAAACATCAGGCCGCCCCGGCTCGCAGCCAGCGTGGAGCCCAAGAAATGTTCTTAGACATACATACACACATACGTACATATACATATACATATATATGTACATACAAGCATAAATCAGTGCAATCTACTTGGTGCAACTTGTGTGGTGCCATCTGCGTGGTGCAACTAATGTTGTGCAATCGATGTATATATCCACATACATACACATGCGTGCGCGTGTTGTTCAATCTATGTGGTGCAAACTAACTGTTGTGCAATTCGTGTGGCTGGTTCTTCAATCTGTGTTGTGACATCTATGACCTGCAATCGCATGGGCTGCGACGGGGAGGGGGGCGCCGGGGCGGCGGCGGCGGGGCGGGGCCGCGACGGCGACCGCATATAGTTAGCCGCCAGGCTGGCGGTGAGGCCCAAGACGACCGCGGCGACGAAGCGGTGACGGAGCGGCGACCGCAGCAACATACGGTGGGGACCCTTCCTTTCGCCCGTCAGGGGCCGCGAGGCCCGTGGGTCATGCGCAACAAAGTCAAAGCGCTAAGCAGTGCTCGCGCAGGGCCAACGGGCAGGGCCCCTCCCGCGAGCAGCGGCAATCCACGCGCCCCTCGCAGGCCCGCAAGCTCGGGGTCCACAGCCCGCGCCCGCGCGGTCGCCGCGCGCGCCGGGGCGCTCCAGCACCGCTTCGCGGGTCGCGCGCGGGATGCGACCGCTCGAGCCCGCCTATCTCCGCGCAGAAGGCCTTCACCAGGTCGCCCGCGTCCTGCTCCCGCTGGCTTCGGCGCCGCCGCAGCAGATCTGCCTCAGCCACGGCCTCGGCCTCGCCTGCGCAGTCGCTCGTCGGCTCGCTCTCGGACTGCCGACCCGCTTCGGCCCTCTCAACCGTCGCGAGGCCGTCCGAGGCCAACGCGCCGCCCCGCCCAGAGCGAGGGAGGCCGCCCCAGGCCTTGACGGTGTCCATGAGCTTCGCCACGTGCTGGGTGGCGGCTGCGTCATGTGGGCGCCAGACAGACATGGGGCCCCGCAGCTCCTGGACCGAGCTGCAGGAGCGAAAACCCTCCCGCGCTTGCTCCGAGAATTGCAGGGTGCCACTGATGATGGCGAGGGAGCCCACGAGCAGCTCCTTCAGCTCGTCCCAGACGTCCTGGACCTGCTGCCGCACGCGCTGCTCCGCCAGCCGTCAGCCCGAAGCCAGGCCCTCCACGAAGGCCTCCACTTCGGCATGCTGGTCCACCAGCCAAACTCCTGGGGCCAGGCACTCGTTGCACCGGCCGACCTGGCATCAACTGCCGAGGATACGGCACGACCCTCGCCTGCCGCGGGCGCCTCCACGAAGCAGCCGCCGCCGAACAAGCAGTCGTCGCCGTCCTCGGCAAACGCCTGCAACGCCGCCCGCGCGAGCAGGTCCGCCTCGAGGTCCACCGCGTCCAGGCCCATCGGGACCTCGGGAAGCGTGGTCGGCTCCTCGAACTGCTTCCCGAGGCGCGGCCCCCGTTCCGCAAGACGCCATGCGGACAGGGGCGCCCCGCCCCCGGGCAGGCTGCCGGCGTGTTGGGCGCCCTGGCGCACCAACACCTGCCCGGGCCCCGCCCGCGCTCCGAGGACCCCCGCGACCGAGGCAGGCCGAGCGAGGCGCTCTCTCCTGGCCACCCCGCCGCCGAGCGCCTCGCGTGCGGCGCCGCACCACTGCCCGACGGGGCGGACCAGCGCACGCCGGAGGCCCCGCTCCAGGGCCACGCGCCCGCGCCGCCTCGCCCCACGCCGAGCCGCGGAGGCCCCCAGCCGAGAGGCCTCCTCCCGACGAAGGCATCGCACGGGCCACTCCGCCTGCCGGTGGCGGCCCCCCGCAGCCAGATCCCAGTGTCCTCCAGCAGCACCTCCGCACCCAGACCTGCGGACCGGCGCGAGCGAAGGGCAGGGGACGGCATGAGCCAAAATGGCTACGGACAGTGGGGGCAATGGATAAGGGACCACTGGATAAGGAATCCAGGGTCTGACAGCCAACGGAACGCCCATTGAGGCTTGGCCATGGCTATCACCACCGCCCTCATCGGACACGGAATTCTCCAGGGTCTGGAGCCTTCCTTAACGAACGCCCCCACCGTAGTCGCCAGACTGGCGGTCAGGCCCAGACGACGGGCGGCGACGAGGCGGCGACGGCGACAACATCTCAGCCAGACCAGTGGTCAGGCCCAGCTCCTCGGAGCAGAAATCCGCCACCGTGCCTGCGGCCACGCTGAGGCGCGGGAGGAGGCCAGGGGCTGCCTTGAGCGGTTCCTGCAGCAGTCCAAGGGACCCCTGCTGCCCCTGGCCACGCGCGCCCGACTGCATCGCCCCTGCTACTGGGGGGGGCCCTGGGCGGCCACGGCGCCTCCCTGGGCCTCTCCAGAGCTTTCATGACGGCCCAGGAGGCCCCCGAGTTGCGGAACTTTTCGGCTTTCCGACGCTTCAAGAAGGCCAAAGATGACCCAAAGACCGCCCCAAGACAGCCCAAGATGCCTCCAAGAGGGCCCCAAGACGGCCTAAGAGTGCCAAGACGCCAAGAGGCGCCCAAGACGGCCCAACAGGGCGTCAAGACGAGGCGGCCCGAAAGGGGCGCAAGAGAAAGAGCAAGAACCCTAAATCCAAGCCTTCCGCCCCAAGAGGCCCCCCAGGAGGCCTCAAGGGGCACCCGAGAGGCCCCAAAGAGGGCCCCAAGGAGGGCCCCAAGAGGGCCCCAACGAAGGCCCAAAGAGGGCCCCAAGAGGGCCCCAGGCCCCCCAAAGGCCTCGAACACGCCTCCTAGAGACACCCGAGCGGCCGCCCGCGAGATCCAAACGAACATCCAATAGGCTTCGTACCCACCACTCACGCACAACGGCGGGACTTGCCGCAGGCGGCTGGATAATAAGAGGATGAGGACGCGGATGGGAGGAAGAGGAGGAGGAGGAGGAGGAGGAGGAGGAGGAGGAGGAGGAGGAGGAGGAGGAGGGGAGGAGGAGGAGGAGTGGAGAAGGAGGTGGGAGGAGGAGGAGGAGGAGGAGGAGGAGGAGGAGGAGGAGGAGGAGGAGGGGAGGAGGAGGAGGGGCGGAGGAGGAGGAGGAGGAGGAGGGGGAAGAGGAGAGGTGGAGGAGGAGAGGAGGAGGAGGGGGAGGAGAAAGAGCGAGGGGGAGGAAGGAGGAGGAGGAGGGGAGGAGGAGGAGGAGGAGGAGGAGAGGAGGAGGGGAGGGGGAGAGAGGAGGAGGAGGAGAGGAGGAGGAGGAGGAGGAGGAGGAGGCGGAGGAGGGCGGAGGAGGAGGAGGAGGAGGAGGAGGACGGAAGCGATATCGGGCCTGGGCGGATCCAGGGCTGGGCCACCTCGGCCCCCCAGCCAGCTCCAAGGCGTAACGAGAAGAGTGAGAGGATGAGGATGAGGATGAGGATGAGGATGGGGATGATGACGATGATGATGATGCTGATGATGAGGATGATGATGATGAGGAGGAGGAGGAGGAGGAGGAAGAGGAGGAGGAGGAGGAGGTGTCTGAAGCGAAACAGCCGGCGAATGGCTACCGAACCCGTGACCCCCGTTGGGCGTGGTAGGCGATCGGTCGCCGTCGCTCCTGGTGGCCGAGATAACTACGCACGGTAAGATACGAAGACAACGCGCATATGACTGCTATGGAAGGCGAATACTTGTTTCCAAACGCATGTTCTGGAGAGGGGGAGGGGGAAAGGGGGCAAGACGCAAACAGCCGAAACTCGCTCAGCGAAACGCGTGCCACCTCTCAATGCGATGCTGGGGGCCCGACACACACTCTACGGCAGGTTGTGGATTGTACGGGTGTGGCTGTATGGATACAGAGAGACACGAGGCACAAATAGGGGGACCCGTGCTAGAAGAGAACACGTTCTCTTTCCTTTTTACGGAGGCGTGGGCGCGTCCGTCACCGGCGCGCCATGATAGCTCAAAGGCCCTTGTGAGCCCAAATGGCGGCGCACCAGGGAGTATAGAGAGAGACGCAGGAGGAGGAGAGGCTGACAAGGGCTCTGCAATCACATTGGCTATTGTGATGTGACGAGGAGTGAACTAAGGACTAAGGAGCAGTGCGAAGCGAGGACTTACGTACGCATACACACCGCCCGGGGGGTCGATCTTCTGGCGCCTCAGCAAGCGGTGGATACCGATGTGCTAGTAAACATGTGTTGAACATGTGCAAAACATATTGTAACCATGTTTCAAATCTGTTCTTAATATCTAAAACATGTGTGGAACATGGTTTAGACATCTGGACATTATTTGGCAGCATGCTTGAGCAGGGACCGACCGTCCCTGCATTCCTATAGTCCTACCACGAAAATCTCTTAGAACCCCCAAAATGTTCTAAGAGCAAAAACGAGGTTCTTAGAACGTAAACCCGATGTGTTAAAGCAAAACCATCTCCGCCAGAAATGTTCTAAGAACATCCCGTGGAAACCACA